ACAGGATTACTCCTGAATATTTCTCGATGTTCGGAAAATAATCGTTGATTATACTTGGTAAGTATCACACATTTGTCACGCGAAGTAAAATATCGCTTTCATTGTTTTTAAATTGGAATATTTCTCTTTTTTCCCTTTAAAATAAAGGGAACCGGAAACATTGTTGATTGTGAAAAGGAAACATTTTAATCTTATTTTGCTGGCCTGAACATCCAAGACTTGTTTCTATACTTAGGTATTTTGATCCGAATGAGGTGATACAAATACTGAAGATTAAGCTGTTACTAAATAATATTCTAGACTTTTCTAAAAAAGTATTAGCTCGAGTATCAGCTCGAGTTCGTTAATGCTTTGGACTTTATATAATCATTAAAAATGAAAAAATTTTTATTAGATTTCTATGATCGAACTTTAATTATCTCTGGTTTAGGGAAAATAAGTAATATGAAAATGACGGCTCTATTTGCTATTAAAATTGCAAGTTGTATGGATCAATGAATGGGCGAAACGCTTTAAATGTCAATACTGTGAAGTGAACTGGTGACAGAAGTTTTTTGTTTCAATACCACCGGATTTCAGTACCATCGGATCCAAAAGTGTAATAAGATTTCATATCCATCATAAGTGAAATACAGTCTGAATTCGTTTTTAATTGTTTCTATTAGTCGTTGAAATAATCAGATTATATTAGTTTACAATTAAAAATGTTTGAAATGCGAAATCTGTTTTTCCGTAAAATTCGGGAATCACAATTATTATTTTCTTATACACCGTTTTGTGCTACCCTCAAAAAAAACATAATTTTAATTTCTTGCCCATCAGCTCTTTCAATATATATCCAGAACTTTCTTCTATGTTTTCAAAGTGTGTAGTGTTATATGTATGTCAAATGGAAGTCATATTTTTCATGTCTTTGAGATGGATAAGTAGTTATTGCGTATAGACTCGAGCCATGTGGAAAGCATATAAGATTTCCATTATAAATTATTTTGCAGGAGTGGAGTGGGTAGAGCGATATTAAGAATATATTGAGGCAGCATAGACTCAAACAAAATTTAGCTTATGTCATAAACGTAATATTCTATGAGGTTCTCGAATATGTCAATCTGCTGAGACATTCAATTCAGCCAGAACTTGATCAAAATACCTTTTGAGATACTTATGGGAGTACCACGTCATTGAAATCAAATCACGTATGAATGGCACGGTTATTAATTTGATATTACATAGTATCGTATATCTAAGAGCAACTTAACTTGCAGTAATACTTATGTGAACGATACAAAATTTCGGGTTACATGGTCCTGTTATTTTCTATTAGCAAAAAAAAAAAGGATTATTTGTTAAATGAAAATGAAAAAGCAAATCAAGACGCGGGATATGAAAATGCTTTCCTTATTTGGTGAACAGATCATAATTGTGCCATATTAGATACTTGGTTTCGAATCGCTTGTGCGGTAAACTCTGCCCTATACTGAAGAGCACGCATTTTGCAGAGTGAAAATATATGAATTGCCGATTCATAGATATTTAGTACTAGACTATTATTTTTGCATATATCTTTATGTTGGCACACCACTGAATACAATGTGGACGGCAAGTATAGACGCACAACGGATGTGTTTTTAATAAGGATCCGTATCTTGCGAATGGAGTGCTTTAGGTTTATAGTGATAAAACGTAGTAAGTAACAATAATATGTTGATAGGCTTGTTGCTAAAAACGGGATACATGCATTGCGCCATAATGTGAGAGATATTAATATTTATAAAAAATTTTTATTGTGAAGAAACTACATTTTTCAGAAGTTCCCCATGATTTACAAATTCAGTCACACTAAAAATTGCAGCTGTTAATGTGCCAACTTCTGGTTCAAATATATGTGTATGCACAGAGTAGAGGAGCTATACGTCGTACTACGCATATGTCGTAATATTTTTGACGAAATGGTCGAGCCCATTAGCACGTACACGTATTAACTTCGTCTTTTACGTAGCACGGCGCTTCCATAATTTTACAAATTAAAGCAAAAACTTCACCTTATTTTCTGAGCAATACAGTACAGAAAAGCAGTGGAATTCCACTATATCGTTTTACGGGGGGATAGTTATATACAAACATGAAGAGTACTTGCTCAATATGAAAGCCACTCCAGCGTACGTAATATGTTTGACAAATTTGCAGTCGAACGGTTTGTTTACAGTTGCTTTGGTTCTTTCAGCTTGTGCCCAAGGAAGCGTCACAAGCACAAGAAGCACAGCTTCCGTTCAGTATTTAGCTGAATCGAGACAATCCATTGTACATTTTTGTGATATTTCATAGTTTACAGTTGCGCATGGCACAGGTGCGAAATACCTAAATCGCTGAGGATTCATTTTTTGGCGAACGCGATTTCTGTGAAACGTGCTTCTTTTCGGTTGGTTGTCTACTCCATGTATTCTAGTATACGCGTATGTGTGAAAAATTAAAAATCCTCACAGAACTGCATGGAATGGGTCTAAACATTTACTAAAGGCTCGTTATTCATTTGCCTACACACCAACCATATAGTGGCAGTGTTGTTGGAATAGTTTCAGCAAGGAAGTGATGTAGCATCACATGTTACCATTTCTGGTTACCATTGAGTTATATGTAGTCACCTATTTACAGTTACTATCATAGCAAGATTCCGAAGAATTAGAAAATAAAAACTTTTCGTGTAATTTTGAAAAATTTATGTGTTCTAAATGTGATCCAATAGGACATATTAGAGGTAAACGATTTTCTTTCTGTATGATATACTATATACATCAAAAGCTAAAGAAAAGAAGCTGTGATTTGAACAACTTAATAAGTGTAAATTGTTATTAAAGAAAGCCAGTCAAATTTTTTTTGTGCTTAATAGTGTCGATTCATATATTCATTTGTTTGTTTTCTATGACCTGTGACCTAATTGCTAATTTGTACTGCTTTGATTCCATACTCCCTTGAATTCTTGTTTTGTTTTATTTTATACCTTGATAGAATTTCCCTTAATACTTTTGTTTCACTGCTTAATAACCTCGAAGACTTTCTTTACATTGATCAGTTACAAATCACTTAGTACATAGTCGATCGTAAACAACAGTAAGTTGGAGAAATTATCAGTGGATAAGTGGATGAAGCCCATTTTATTATTATTTTATTTTGTTATTATTTTAGAGTTTTTCTGTAAGATTCCTTAACCGAAGACCATATAACTCTCGGTATTCTTACTAATACCTATCTACTTAGTACATTTCTAAGTACTATGAATAAATACTGCGCTATTTCGAAGTTTGGATGTCATAAGCAAAAACAATAAGAACAAAAATAGAAATTGAAAAAAAATGCAGATGAAATTTAAAAGTTTTGAATTTTAAGTACAGAAGCTAAATATAAAGATAGAAATTATAAGTGATATGTAGTTTAAGATAAGCTGTTTAGAGAACAACAAAGGTATGCTAGATGAATTTAAGTATTAAATACAGTCTGATATCAAAGCCTCAACAAGTGCATCTTGCCAATTCGATAGTAAACGTCAGAATTTTCAGAAACACTATTTTGGTGATTTCGGAAAATATATACTGAATCTGCATCTGAATCATCTATGCGTATATACGCATGACGTATATTTACTTATATGCCATAAGTTGAACTCAAACGATTTCTTGCGAGAATGTTCTCACTCGCTTTTTGTCACTTGTTTCGAGTTTACCGGTTATGTGGCATGAAAAATCAGGACATGAGACCCGAAATTTTTTCCGTTCTGGTTTTCATTCCGGTTCAAGAGCAAAAAAATATATTGGTTCGGTTCCGGTTTTCGTTCGAGCAAGAATATCGGTTTTTTTCGGTTTTCGGTTCGGATCCAGTTCGATGCCCTGTGAAAAACTCACCATGCGAGAACGTTACGGTGTGATGAGAGCAACTGATGAAAATAAAATGTTAATTTCATACTTTAACTGAAAAACTATATTTATATTTGTTTTAAATTTGTTTTAATTGCGATTTTTGTATTTAATATAATTAAAATACTAAATATAGTACAATGTATGTACTGAGTATATATTAGAGTATATATGTATTATACTTATCCTTTTTTGATTGTTGATGCTTTTCAATACTGTAAGCATCTCTTGAAATGTCTGGTTCTGCTTTTCATTTTGCTCAGTAACGAAGCGCTTAAATCTTTCGAGCTGTGATAAGTAGGTCTCATTCCTTGTCTATTTGGATTCCGATAATAAGGACGCACATCAAGTTGATTCTACTTGCTGTGCGGGCCTTGAAGAAACAAAGTTGTTATCTACAATTTCTTCACTCTTAAAAAGTTTCACCTCAAAGAAATCTAATTGCTAATACTGTAGTAGAAGAAAACAGAAATTGAAGAAAACAGAAAGCATATATTTTATTTTCCGGAATGCCTGCTCCAGGGGTATCTTGATCCGGTATTATGTATTATAGTTACAGAAACATCTCCAGTGACGAATTTTCGTTCAAGGAAACGTAGTGAGAAAGTTAGAAAGTTGTCATGTGCTCCTTCCATCTCATAATTGTGTGTAGAATTGTTTCTAGATATCTGATGGCACTTAAGTACCATCACTATAAACAGATATGCAGGATGTTAGGATTTATAAAATTGGCATGCATTAAATTCGCCACTTATGTTGTCAATATCAGTTTGTAAATGGTTAGATATTATTACTTTATTTTTTCGGATAGATTAGTGGAGTACAGTAAAAAACGGAGAGCACCTATAACACTTTCTTGTGATACGCCAGCATTCATTTTCTACGATAAGTAACTCTTCACTTAAATCAGAAATAACGATCAGATATAAAAGAAAAAATTATAAGTACTTAGCAATCCTCTGAAGTTATACCACCACGCCTATACCAAGATTTATCAAACCCAACAAAACTTTCAAATATACAGCTAAACAAACTTTTATATTGAAAAATTACGGAAATTTCGTTTGCAAAATAAAAAAAAATTTATTACAAGCGAATAATTTTTAAATAAGGCATAAAGCAGCTTCTCAATAATATTAACGAAATAAAGTGAAATTATTAAATTTAATGCACCCTGAACCAAGCTAATCTAGACAAGACTGGTAGCTTTTTATATGCAAAAGAAATCTCTTTAGGAACTGATCAAATGACACAACGGACAGTCAATGAAGCTTTGGTTGACAACTCACTTCAAGCAACTCCCAAGGCTAGACCCTACAAAAATAATACAGTAGTTTAAATTAGTTTTGATTTAGTTTAACCTACTCCCTGTTCTCCGGTTGGGATATCTCCATAGGCCATTCTTTCTGACTTTCAAGAAACATGTTGTTAAGATACTCCACCTCAGGATGATTGGCGACATTTTCGCGAATTTTTCGCATGGATTGTATGAAAGCTTCCTGAGCCAAGTCTTCTGAGTCCGCCGAGCTATCAGTCAAATCAGTCCATTCCTCACCTTCGGGATGTATGTCTAGCTTTATTTTAAATTCTCCATTATTACAAACACTAACAGCACCAACTTTCTTCATTCTACGGTTGTGCAATTGTTTTTTTACATGCTTGAGGTTTGCAAATTTTTTGTTTATAGACTCCATGTTACTATCCTTTTGGCTTTTGAAGCCAAGTATTGCGGATACAAAAAATTTAGAATTTGAAATTAAGACTTCTACAATATTTAGCAAAATGCAACTTCTAATTTTGTGCTATCTTTTAGAAAAAACAATATAATAAACTTTTTTAAATAAAATTAAAACATTATTTAAAGAAATGCAATTGTCATTAAATCAAGGCAAACTTCATTAAAAAAAAATACTTTACCAACCATCAATTCAACAAATATAAATAAATATATCAACAAATATAAAGTAAATGTATTTTGAAAACATTTTTTTAAGTTATCAGTTAAATAATTGCATATCATATTATATACAATACGTATATACCATTTGATCAAAAAAGAACGAGAAGTTAAAAACAAACGCAAAATTTTAATTTTTAATAATTTTCTTTATTCAAAGTACTCTCCTGCCAACGCTTGATCCAATAATCCATAAAAGTTTTATAGGCCGCCGAAGATATTGCCTTTAGTTCACGCAGCGAATTCTCTTTTATGCCCTCTATGGTCTCAAAACACGTTCCTCGCAATGGCAATTTGAGTCGGGGGAAGAGGAAAAAGTCACACGGGACCATATCTGAAGAGCACGGCACTTGGTTGATGATATTGGGGGATTTTTTGGCCAAAAACTGCGACACAATCAACGCTGTGTGAGCCGGTGCGTTATCGTGGTGTAAAATCTATAAGTTTTCCTTTCATAAATCAGGCCTCTTTTTCGAATGGCCTTACGCAAACAACGCATAACGGCCAAATAATACTCTTAGAACTTAATATTAGGCATAACGACCTAAATAATACTCTAAGAACTTATTCGGTCTTTTTTTGAATTTAGGCTATAAGTTCTCAAATTTCCAATTTTTAGAATTCTCAATTTGTGCTATCAAAATAAATTCGACAGTTCAACAAAATGGCAATTGTTTTTCTATTTACAGTGTTGCCAGATGTAAATATTTAGCAAAATTCAATATGTAGTAATATGTGATAATCTAATTATTAGACTGCGGTTACATTGAATGGGAATTTTGTCTTGCGTGTTCGTGCCTATATTTTCTCATGCGAACACATCGCATGTTGCGAACACATTGGTTGCGAATTGACAGTTCTGTCTGCTTTGAAAACAAAACGGATAGTGAAAATGAAAAATATTTAGCGGAAAATTCGTTACCAAGTTATTTTTAATTTAAAATAACAAAAAATAAATTGAGTGCATGATTTTTATTTTTCAAGGAATAAAAATGAAGAGGTTGTCTATTCGTCAAATATAGAAATTAGCAAACCACAATTCATTTCCTAAATGTAGTATTTGTTTTCAAATTTATTTTCATTCATAAACTTAAAATTACGTTTAAATAACACATACCTTTCAATTTCACTATTTATATATTCCAATATTTTTATGAGAAACACAAGACGTCGCTCGAACAGTTCTCAGCAACTGTAAGCACTCACATATGAAAGCATACATTTGATTTGTTCGTACGAACACGCACGACAAAATTCGCATGCAATATAGCCGCAGCGTTACACTTTCTGATTTTATGGAAAAGCGTATAATTTGCAAGTACTATTAACAATTATTATACGAAAGTATAATAATAAATTAACATATTTACAGCCTTTATGAATTTTTTCTTACTGTTTATTTTTGTTGGCAAATTGAAAGTAAGCATATCCACATTTACTTTTGAATTTAGGCACAACCAAAAACTATTAAAAATACTGATATGTCGCTCTGCATAACATGCATTTTCATCATAGCCCTAAAGAGCTAAGTTTGAGTCCTCGAGACGCTCTACATAACATTGCCCTTATTTGCAATGTAAATTAAAAATTGAAAATAAGAGAAAGAGAAATTTCGATATAAATTTGGTCACGGTGATGAGGCTTCGTGTGCCTCGTCACGGTAATCAAAACAGTGTTGCTATGCGATAAATGACAGAATTTTCGCCTGTTAGGAATAAATATGTGTATATTTGAGTGTATATGAATATGATAAAAATAATTATCTTCTAACTTGAAGTACAAATGAAAATATATCAAAATAGTCGTAAAGATAAGAAATTGAGAATTATTGTATGGCTCTCTGTACTTCATGCCCTCTGGTCGAGGCCAAAATAAGCGTAAAATTATCATGCCCATTCATATAAATAGTCGTAATCCGCTTAATATGGCTCAGAGAGAAAAAATTCTATTATTCTGATATATAATTTTATTTACATTTTACTTAAAAAATACTTTAAAAGACCTAATATGTTATCTTGAATAAATACGAGTATCGCTGTCTGCATATTTCTTAATTTTCCTGAATAATTTTTGACGCTTTTGAACAGCAAATTTCAATTTGAGTAAATTTATTAAATTTTTTCAAATTTAATTGAGTAAATCAATTTTAATTTTGATTATATTTATTTATTACGAAGTTATTAATATTTTTAATTTCGTAATTAATGAAATGTTTAATACTAATTCACTGCCTATTCATTTGCCGTGTCGAGACATTTGTCTAGTCAAATCCGTCTCTTATGGCTTGTGAGTTCCTTTTTTTGGTATCTCCTGTGCTGCCTGCCACAGATGTTTTTGCATCTGAGTTGTTTTTACTTGCATTTAAAAATGTTAAAAATGTTTTATGTATCAAAAGTAATACTTGTTTTTGTTGTTGCCATTCATAAATTGGCTCCAAAATGCGGCTTAGTTTTGTGTTTTCATATAATTTCAGTTTTAGTTTTCATTGCATTGAGATTGCGAAATGTGCGAAATCATGTTGAAGTTGTTAATTTGAATTTGTGAAGTGTCTCTTAATTTGACAGAACACCATTCATCTTGGCAGCGCTAGTAGAGATTTTCCGCACCACAACCTGCCAGCGACAAACTTTGGCACAATTAATTGCAAGCATATTTACAACAATTTTTTACTTTTTTAAAATTTGCGACAAATACTTGGATAAAAAAATGCATTCAATTTTCATACAAAGCTCTATACAAAAGCTCCATGCTCAATCAAAAAGGTTTAACAAACTATTTGAAGCTGTGAACTTAACTTAACTTAAAGACTTAAGTTAAGCTTGTCATTAACATCAAACTGTTCAAAACAATTTTCACTATTTTAAATACTTTTTCTTATCCAAGCGAAAACAAATAAACTTGGACGTGAGTAAGTCCACTCTAGTCATTTTGACTAGAACCCTAAACAACAGGAAGCGCTCTATATTCTCAAAAGCCTGCCCACTTGCCGCAGAATTCGTCATGTAAATGATGTCGGACTGTAAACACAGTTCAGCATAGGATTGCGATGTTCATTTTGATGTTGTGTCATTCTGTTTAATGGAAGTGCTTGCAATTTGTATCTGCGGTTGAAATTTATTTATTATCCATTAAAGTAACAAATTTTTAATTAATTTTATATCATAAAACACATAAACTAAATATTGCTGTAGCCAGAAACCAATTGAATAAATTTCTTTTGATACTCATGCCAGCATTTGCTGCATGTATAATTTCATATATGTGTTCTCTGAACTATAATAAATGTCACAAACTGGAAAACTATCACAGCGCAGAGCAGTGACATGTCAAATAAAATTAATTTGCAACAGAAGCCATCAAAACTAATTACGCTTCAGCAGACAATATATTAACAACGTGTCAAAATTAACATTTCATTATTTTTGAAAGTTTTTAAATGACAATAGCACCACATTAATGCTTGAATACACACAGGCAGATGAACAGACAGACATCGTACTTACCTACATCGTATGCCAAGTACTCTACATTTTTACTGCACGAGAATACAAATGGAAACGTTTACGAGATTCTGAAACAAAAAAGTGTGCGTATGTGTTGCGGTTATCGGATTTAGAGTCAGTCATAACGACATTCGGTGTGCTGTACAATAAGAAAACAAAACGATCAATTATTAGAATCTTGAATTGGAAGCGCTAAAGTTACTCCTTACAAAGGAGTACATTGCTGCTCTCTTATTATCGTCACATATTAGTAAAAGAAAAATTCCACCCATGACTGTGATATCTCAGGTGTGATATTGAGAAAAAAATCGTTACATATTTATCAGCTCATAGTCATCATATTTATCAATTATTAATCTTCGCTTTTACTGAATAATAAAAATAACTTACATCTGTTATTTTTGAAATATTGGAAAGTTTATTGAGACACAATATACTGCTTCAGATGCTTATTGAAGATGTTTACTCGGGTTTACGACAACGACAACCAATTTAAATTTACTCTTTTGGGCAATTATTAAGACTAAAATTGCAGTGCTGTAATTCTGTTTCAATTGTATCTTGAAGCTACCGATTAAGTAAAAATTTGCAACAATGCAGTTTGTATTTATTGCTTGGATTAGAATAACTGCACCATCCTAATGCGGTTATTTGCAAGTCATATGCAAAAAAAAAATAATTTATTTATCAAAAATATGGTATATGGTCTCGCCCGTGCGAATTGTGAAGTAACATTAGCATAACTTTCTCCGTATTACGTTTCTAGATAAGAGGTTTTTCGAACAGTCGTGAACTTCAACGAAAATCCTTTTTATATTATTTTAATTAATTGAATTTCGAGTATTGCCAAAAACCCATCATCAGTGGCCATATCTGTGGATATAATTCTTGTATTTAATTATTCGTAAATAATTTTTTTTTTTTGAAACTGCAAGTACCAGGAATCAAACTTGTGTCCTGCCAAATTTGAAGCTCAGAGTCAGCGCACCTAAACCAACTAACCCAAAGCCGTACTTGACTTTTAGGCTCACACATTTTTTGCGGAGTTCTGTTACTTTACTATGAAAGCTTCATTAACAAATTCACTGGCTGCGTTTATATTAGAACGAAATCATAAACCAGCTGTAGAATAATTGAATTTCAATACTATTCTATATGCAGAGGCATTATTTGCAAGTGAATTTGGTAATAAACTTTTACAGCAAACTAACAGAACTCCACAAAAAAGTACGAATATACAAGTCAAGTATGACTTTCGGTCAGTTGGCTAATGAGCACTGACTCTGAGATTCCAATTTCACAGGGTACGAGTTCAATTCCTGGTACTTGCTGTCTCAAAATTATTAAGAATTATT